GAAGCAACTAAATTTCTGCAAACAACATAGAGCTATAACCATAAATAAAAGATTATGAATAGAATTTTCAAGATTTGATGGTTGAATATGAAATTGCTATCAACATTCTGAAAGGAAAAAATGAATGAAGCTGTTGTTTGGTGATGAATTATGGTAAGATGAAAGAACTTAGGCGTGTGTACATTGAAAACAAAAACGATGAGGTAATGAAATCCGAGCAGCAATTAGAAAGAAGGTGATAATTGTTGTTATTGTAGTAGTAATAGTAGTATGAAAACCAGCAACACGTCAAATACAAGCTATCTATATAATGGAGAATATAATGCACTATCAATATCAATATTAATATCAATATGAATTCAACAATATCAGTAAGGTAATGAAAATGAAAGAAGCCAAGATGGGAAAGACATAATTGGAGATAGAAGGGAATGAATGAATGACGAAGGAAAGCAGCAATCAAACGAATATCTTTAAGACGCCAGCCATTTTGATGATAACTTGGTCGTCGTGTGTTTTAGTCGTGTGTTTTAGTTTCAGTTTTAGAGTAGGAACGATTTGTGCATTATGTGTTGCGTGTTGTCTTGTCTCTGGGAGGGTGATGAGCATGCATGGTTATCGAGGAGAGAAGATGCCTGATAAATGGTATCATTAGGGTGATAGCACCAAGATGCAATGGGAAATTGTTTGATTATTAATAGGAGTGTTATTATCGGGATTACTTGCTGATAGAATGGCGCCATTCGGTTCGTTGGATGCTCCGATTTTGGTTTCGTTTATGCGCCTGTATTACTTGTTCAAAACAGCATACTCCAAATCATTTATGAAATAAATTCATTACATCTTTCTTCGTTTGCTTCTTCTTAATTATCTTCACTCAATTCACTTTATTCATGGCCTCATGTGATTTCATCTTATTCAGCGCTCTTATTTATCTATTCATCCATGATCAGCAGTGATCGAACGGTCATCACCTCTCCTTTATGCCACCGCCTTCAATAAAATGATGACATGAAAAAATACCGCTGAGGGTCAAATGATTGATTCGCCTCGGAATATTAACTGTTTGTGCATTCGATCCAATGCAATAAACTGCTTCAGTTCAGTCAATGAACATCGTTGAATCACTCGCACCTTATGACAATGCGTACTTACAGGTTTGCTTGAATGTTGCAAATTATACCGTGTGAAGGATCGTAGATGCAAATTTCACTCTTGATCATCGATCGCATCAGCTCGTCAACATGACGTTTAATTGATCATCATCTCAGTAAACTTATAATTGCACATGATAAGCAATCCGTCAGAACATGCCCACTGGTGACTGGTGGTGTTATCCGAGAATGTAACGTTGCTCAGCCATTTCGTGATCATTGAAATCCTCTGATCATGTACACTCATCAAGAACTGTCCAATGCTCCTCATCTCTGTTTGTTTGCTCACGTGCTCACCACTCGTCTCGTGTCTCGCTTATCAAGAATGTAATTTGTCGTTCGATTTATTTGCATAATCGCTTATTCGTTTAACTGTGAACTGCTTTATGTATCTTCTGCTTTATTTAACGATGAATACGTTACACATACACATATACGAATACAAAAATTCCTATTTGTTGCATAAACATCCTTACCAAAAGAGGTCTGTTTGTATTGCCCGAGCATGACGTTCGTGATCAATACTGTTTAGGGAGGTGATGGGCATTTGAAAGATTCTACGACATGAAGCAATTCATTTAAGAGTGTGTAGCGATCTACTATTTGCTATATGGTCATTGGCACATATAAGCCGTTTCTTGAACATTGAGGGTTTCATACTGCCATGTTTGTATAGCACTTATATAAAGACAGCTAAACTGTCAAACGGCACACTTTCAATCGAGAATTTATGAACGTCGCAACAACTGAAAACGAATACTTCAATCACAAATAAATTCATAAAGAAATTTATTTATTACTCATCACAATTATTCGTGGTATTTACTATTGAAACGTTACAAATGATGGATTAACATTAACAAATCAATAGCCGATGGGATAGAATATTTTAATTCTTTTTCAGTTGGTTCTTGAATATTTCCCCATGGCCAGGAACAATCCAGTCAGCCATGCTAATGATCCGCTCTCGACTTTGCTGTTGCTTCTCAACGTAACGACTATTTGCTTGCCATTGATCAGTGAGACCATTTTCGAATATATCCCCTCAAATGTTCACGTTTCAATTGAATCAGAACAGAGAGGTGATCACAAAAAGATGATCGATTGATCTATGTGAATCAGAACATCCAAAATTGATGCTTCAAAAGCAATTGAGGATATCAATTCGGATTCTCAAAAACAGTTTGAGAGTAGCACTGAAATGAACTCGCCTGCAACAACGATACATCCACGCTGTGTACCCGTAACCACCACACTCAAATCATGATCTGTATGACCAACAGTCCTTATAACGTACACATTCTCGGTCACTTCAAACTCATCCTATAACGCTTCTTTTATAAACGACATTACTGACTCGTTTTTATTGTCCAATGCACCTTGAACACTATCATTATAATACGGATGTTGTCTACTCGAATTGCACTCATCCAACCTCCAATGAAGTATATTGCGATTGAGCTCTCGCACAGTCATGATCCATGTAAATGGTGGCTTTTCGAAATAGTGATAAATTTCCACAATGGTCACTGTGTCCATGAGTTATTATCAGATCAGTTACATCCTCGTTACTGACTGAATATGCTTTCAGCTCTAAAAATTAAATCTATTTTCATGCTGACCGATGAGTACTCTCAGGATAATAATCTCATCGCCATAACATCCATATCACTCAGTGGATAGAACTATTTAGCATTCATCATATGAAAACGATACTGTTTTACGTCTTCCAAAACATTTAATTGGTTTCAGTCCGATACTATGAAATGTTTTAGTTAAAATGATCATTATGAATGTTATCCTGGTGTGTCAAGTCAGTCAACGGACGAGAATATGAATTTTTTAAGCGAATGAAGAATTTTTCGTTCACAAATTGATTGCCCAGTTTAGAATGAATTACCAGTCAGCAATTGCTCCCCATTCCAAGGATCACCACAGTCGACCAAAATTTTACGATTGCCATTGATAATCAGTGTTACCGAGCCTGATGCTGACAGAGCATCTTGCGATGCCGAAGACGATTCGTTCGAATAACCGATCAGAATCTGATGCACACTTGCGACCATTATTCTTCGTCTTCTTCAAAACTAGGCGAGAAGTGGTCAATTGAAGCGTTTCGATTCATTACGCACCGTTAACATGTGTGTATTCAATTACTTCTTCACATATTATTATTGAAATGAGTGTTTCATTTTCATTCGAAACATGGTCACTGATTGTGAGGTGAATCGATGGACGACATCTCAATGCAGATAAAAATGTTAACAGATCTAACAGAATGCGAATGTAATGTAGCAATAACTGCGATCAGTTGAAATTTGTACATGAACGCCACAGTGATCCAGCATAGATAACCTTTCACTGTAATTATTCGCAAAACATTCACAGAATCGTCTATGAAACATTCACGGTTGATTGTGTAATTCATAAGTTACAGGTGTTTCTTCCGGATTCATCTAATCACTAATATAAAACTCATTATTACTAATAATCACTAATCACTAATAAATAACTTATTNTGAAATATCTGTAATGCTTTGAATGCATGCAGTCGCA